TTATCCATATTTGCAGCTGTTTTCACTGTTTGCAGCTGTTTTCATTGTTTGCAGCTGTTATCCATATTTGCAGCTGTTTTAACTGTTTGCAGCTGTTTTCACTGTTTGCAGCTGTTTTCACTGTTTGCAGCTGTTATCCATATTTGCAGCTGTTTTCACTGTTTGCAGCTGTTTTCACTGTTTGCAGATGTTTTGCACCTGTCAGGCACCGTGCTCTTTCAGCGAGCTGATGGGTGCCACGGAAACTGTGACATCACTTGTTCACTGCCCTGCAGGTCGCCCAGTTGTTGCAGTGCAGCAGACCATCCAGCAGGGCTTATGTAACCACCCCCCCCACCCCCACCCCCCCAACACACTGACACCCACTGCTCTCTGATGATGGACTCCCCTTCTTGTTGCTCTCTTCTTGCACAGCCTCCTGCCCGTCGTATTGTGCACCTACCGTGCACAGTCATGCAGCCTCTGCAGATGTGCTGTTGCCACATGAAAGGACAGAGAGTTCACTTCTGGAGTGAACAAACAGCTGCACGCGCTGCCCCTCCCTCCCCACACATTTCCCAGGATGCTCCACTGCAGCAGCCTCAGGAGCAGCAACCCGCTGGGCTGGTGTGACTGGGGGTACGAACACACAGCGCCCCCTGCTGGCAGCAGGAAGCAACACCAAATATGGTCATGCTGCCTGAGCAGCAAAACGTGATTTGATGTCCTGATGCATGCTCAATAATAATAAATGATTTGATGGTTTCTCTCTTAAAAGACACTGTTTGTTTATGGTTCATCTACTTTGTACTGTTTTACCTGTTCATGCACCAAAACGTTCAGCTCGATCACAAACCGTCTACGACTTTTGGTTTCTGTAACTTTCACCCTTTCAAAATGTTTTGCTTTTCTTTTTTAATAGTGTGAATGTTTATGAAGCATTCTCACTATTGTGATCCATTTTTCCTCCGTACATTTTTTGGCACGATTCTCGTACCGCAGTTTTTGTTCTGTTTCAACAAATCATAATCAAAACGTTCAGCTCTTTTAGGAAAATCCTGCTATGACGTTTGGTTTTGGTGCAACTTCAGCTTTTTGAAAAAATTTAGCTTTTTCTGCCATTTTTGTCTCGTTGAAAATGAACTGAGCTCATTTTCCATCCTTCACATCTTTAGATGTGTTCACAACCTTTTGCTGCTCATTTCACATTTTGTTCTGCTTCAGCTACTTTCAGCTGTTTTTCAGCTGTTTTGTGCGCCTTTCAGCTTCTTTCTGCTAGCTTCAATATTGTTGTGCTTTTAACTTTATGCTAATTTCAGCTTGTTATGCTCCTTTCTGCTTATTTCTGCAAGTTTCAGCTTTTTCTACTATTTCAACTACTGTTTTTATGCTAATTTAACGTTGTTGTTGTTGTTGTTGTTGTTGTTGTTGTTGTTGTTGTTTTTAGCAAATTCCACATTTTTGCAGTCATTCAGCAAAAAATGTGCTCTCTCCACTTCCTTCTGATAATTTAAACTTCTTTTAGCTTTTTTTTATTAGCTGTTTTTTGTTACTTTCAGCTTTTTCCATCTAAGTTCTACATGTTCTGCTCATTTCGGCTTCTTTCAGCTTACTTGGGAAAAACTGTGCTCTCTTCACTTCATTCTGGTCATTTAAGCTTCTTTCTGCCTTTTCAGTTACTTTTCAGCTTTTTTTTTTGTCTCTCATTTCAGCTTTTTTCAGATAATTTCCACCTTTTTTTATTTTTTTACTCATTTCAGCTCTTTCTGCTTCCTCTGCTAATGCAAGCCTCTTTCTGCCCTCTTAGCTACTTTTTTTAGCTACTTTTCAACTTTTTTTTTTTGTTGTTGCTAAATTCCAAATCAGCTCATTTCTGCTTATTTAAACATAATTCATCAAATATGTTTTTCTTTTTGCTTTCATCTGCTAATTTAGGCTTGTTCTTCCACTTCAGTATGTTTTAGCTAATTTCAGCTTTTTTTTTTTTCAGCAATAAGCATTCACACTGCATTTTTGGCAGGAAATGTAATTTTTCTAGATAAAAGGAATTTGTCCAATGAAACAATAAGATCCTTAAACAAACACACTTCTCTTCTGCTTCAAGATATTTGGCTCTGTTTGGCTATTTTTAACTTTTACCTACTGTTTAAAGGATTTTAGCCATAGCATTTGTTTAGCTAATTTTAGCTCCAGTTTCTAATAACACCTCAAACATCTGCTAAGCTATATTTAGCTGCTGTTCTTCGTCTTGTTGCATTTAGCTTTTAGCTTCCATTCTGCTACTTTTAGCCACAGTTTTGCTCATTTTGGCTGCTGTTGAATAGATTTTATCCAAAGCTTCTGTTTTGCTAATTAGTTTAATTAATCTGCTATAACTGTTAGCTTTTTTGTTCCAATTTAGCATCTGTTTGACTAGTTTTAGCTTCCATTTAAGGTTTTATTTGAGCTTCTTTTTAGATTATTATCTTGTTATCTTTAACATCTGTTTCATTTTATTTAGCGACTGTTTTTCTGCTTTTAGCCTCTAAGTTTTGCGCAATAATTGATAACTGACTGAAACATTGCTACAAATATATGTATATGTGAGCATGCGTCTTTCTGTTAGCAAAATATTTTACAAACGACTGGATGGATTTTAATAAAGATAATGGACATTACAAAAGAAATGGCTACAATTCAGTTTTGCAAAGCTTGACGTGGTAGCAGCTGTTCAGACAGAAAACCACAAACAAAATACATTTACACTTCTGACGTGTATTAGTTTGAGTATGTATTATGAGCTGCATGTAAAAACATCATTAATTCTTTGAAACGAGCTTTTTGTCACTGCCAGGTTTTATTAAAAGTTAGTGAACTGCATTGATTTAATTAGCTCTGCAGTTTCCCTCTGCTGCCCTCTGCTGGTCAATGCTTAAACTGCCCAATTTACAGATACTAATGCGCATGCTCCAAGTCGGTTTTATTGTGGTCTTGATATATTTTTATCGATTTACGTTTCTCTGACGTCTAATCTATTTTTTGTCATTACATGTTTTATCTTTAAAATAATTAATAATAATTAATAAGTAATTTACACGTACCATGGCTACCGGAAGTAGCTTTGACTCACGGTCGCCAGAGTTAACGCATGCGCAGATCCCTAAAACCGTCATTAACAAATGTTTTTTTTTTTTAATGCAATTAAACTGAATAAAAAATATATATAAATTTTGAATTAGCCGAAACGTAAACAATAAAGCATTTTTAGCGTGACGCGGGGAAATAAAATCACCCCAACAACGCGACACAACACTGTAGGAATAAAAAAGTTCTGTTTTTGTTTCTGGGGGGAATGTTTTCATAGTTACCGGAAGTGTCGCAATGTAGCAGAATCGAAATGGCAGGCTGGTTTTAAAGTTCAAGGAACACGGTAAGTCTCGTCTTCATCGTTAGTTTCGATAGTTCATGGCTCAGCCAGCTTTTTAATGTCGATGGAAAACAACTAGTTTGTAACTGTTTAATAAATTTACGGGTTGTTTTGCTGCAAACAGAATAGTTGAGACGCACACACGTCTAACGGCTTTTGTAAGCCTTCACAAAACAGATATTTTCAAGTGTTTATTGTTTAAATAATTTAATAAAACATGTCCAGCATCAAGTGCTTAATGTCTGTTAGTATCCCAGTCCCCCTCTAGTGGATTTTAAAAGGTTATTTCACCCGGTTAATACAAGATTTTGTTAAAAATACTGCATCTATTTTAATTTGTATTCAGCTGAGGTAATTAAAATAATTGCGTCATATCCAAACAAAAACCTTTTGTTTTGTCAAAGACCAATAAGTTACTTAAGGTTTGGGAAAGTAATAACTGTAAGGACATAATTTGCACAGTATCACAAACACACAACTGTTGAAGAACATCCAGACGTGCATTATTACCTTTACCTGCTTCCTTTAGTGCTCGTATCCAGCAGTCACTGTGTGAGAGGGACTTACATCCAGGCTGCGTCCATCACACGCCAGAGCCAAATATGAACATCTGCAAATCACATGCATGAATTTCAGTCAAATGCATGTCACAAAATAACTATTTGCAACTCTACCTACATGTCCAAGTGATGCAGTGGATGTATCCAAGTGACATAGTGGACGTATCCAAGTGACATAGTTGCCTTGTCC